GTAGTAAACCTGCTAGGGGGCAGGTTAGCTTCACGGCGTGTGTCGTCATAGTGACTCAGTCAGGCTGCAGCTGAACTCGCTTTGTGAAACCGAAGACCCAGAGTTTTCGTTAACTCAGGGTATACTTACTCAGTTTTTCCACTAAACCGGCTTCCTGGAACAGGGCCCAGTGCAACGATACTCCGGTGTAAGGCTCAGTTATTGTATTTTTATTTTTTGAAGATGCAACAATGGGTGAGGCTGACAGATAAAATTATTTCATGGTGAGACCTGAAGGAGTCAACTGTGCCAAAATGAAATTAATTAAATACACCATTAAATAATTATTTAAATGTGGCAATAATTAATTAAAATGTGAAATAAATAAATAATTAATCAAATGTGTCAATAATTAATTAAATGTGTCGATAATTAATTAATTACATGTGTCGTAAATATTTATGTAATTAATTATTTCCGATTTTAATTAATTGTTGCCACATTTAATTAATTATTTAATGGTGTATTTAATTAATTCATTATGGCAGTCCTGGCGTTCCATACAAGTGAATCCCGTGAATTCCAACCACATATTTAGTCTGTCGTGGCAAATAATAGCAAATAAAAAAATATAATGAACACATTTAAAGATTGAGACTTTAAAAATATTGTACGGCCATTATACTCAAACTTCTTTGTCAACATCAAGTCAATCTGAGCTTGCATTTCAAAGTAAAAGCAGTTCAGAATGCTGCGGGCGGGATCTCTGGCCGTGTTCTCAAGTCATGCGTGGCTCAGCTAGCTGGAGTGTTCTTCAACCTTTCCTTCTCTCCGTCTGTAGTCCCAGCCTGCTTTGGAGGTTGCTTTTATTTTGAAATCGGGTTCCTGTTGTGTATTTTTTTTAAAAATCCAACACCAACCGTCGTCGATGCAACCGCTCCTTTATCTTGCGTCATGGAGCGGTTTGTCTCACAGAAAAGCGAGTTTATAGATAAGAAAGAAAAAAAGAGCAGCAGAAAAAGAAAAAAGACATCATTAGTCAGTTTGTACGACAGTCATTGTCCGCTGGACTTATCGGAATCAGTGGGATTTATTGCTTCGTCATGGAGATTTGTAACAGGAGCCTGTGTGTACACACAAAGGAGATGAGCTTCTCTCCTACACATGACTGAGGTAAGATTCACAGTAATAACACGTTGAGACAGTACTATTTATATTTGGTTTGAGCAGCTTTCATTACCGTTAGGAAACACAGTAGAAAAAAATCATAGTTATGTTAAGGGAAACGTGATGGCGTACGTCGATGCAGCCGTTAAGGCCTGTCACTACCCAATCCCTACCGAAAACCATTTATATCCCTTTAATGAATGTGTTTCGTTTGTAGTGCCAGGTAAGCCGCATGTATGTTAAAGTGTTGACAGAAAGGAAAATGTTAAATGTCATAAGAATGGCCTTCGCATATTTATATTGTTAATTTTTTGTTTGTTTGTTTGTTTCCTATTTCCTTTTTTTTTTTCTTTCAAGATGTTTTTGAAAGAAACAAAATCTTGTTGTCTCCCAATGAGAGTTTGTAAATTTGTGCAAGGTCTAAATAAATATTTTTTTAAAAATCCGGCACAACACCGGGACCCGATCGGTAGCACACGCATTCGCACGCACTCTTACGTCATTACGCATTCTTACGTCAGGTCTTTGCAACACTGCGGTGTTACGTTTTCCAACTAGACAGTGTGGAGCGGTCGCCTGATTATCTGCGTGCTGCCGTTTGTTAATCGGAAATGTTGCTTTTACTCAGGTTTGAAGTGAAGTATTAAAAATCTTATGCAAGCGTAGTTTGTATCGCAGTGTGGAGCTACATGCTAGCTGTAGGGTAACGCTAAGCCCCCGATCACCCTCTGAATGCGGTGTGCAGTTGATTCAAGTGTGTTAATGATGGATTTTTTGTGTTTCCACAGTTGTCTCGTATTCTTCATCGTAACCTCTAAAGGTGAGTCTTCCGCTGTCCGCTTTTATCCTCTTGCGTGGAAAAGATGTTCAGAACACAGAAGCCACCTGTAAAGGAGTGTTTCTGAACATCCAGTTCAGAGCTGCAGCTGTTTTCAGAGTGAATCTCATGTGTAGCTGGCACTGACTGCACTAGAACTATACGTTGTTCTCTTACACGTTAATGTCTTCCTGTGTGTTTGTGTGTCTACCAGAGAATGCCCTGTCAGTGAGCACTCGGAATGTCTGCGCTCCCGACATCCTGCTGAAATGTGCCTTCAAGCAGACCCGTTTTAACGGGAGGATCATGCTCTTTAAGGGTTCTGTTTGGCTTGCTTTTCAAGATAAGGTGTGTCGAGGACGAGTCCAGAACTCTCGTCACAGGTACAAAGAGGGAAACTGTTCCCTCCTCAACGTCCCAAGAAATTTGTACAACTGCGTCATCGCTGGGGTTGGCATGCTGACTGTACAGCTTTCGGTGTAAGGTTGGTAGTTTTCACAGTCCAGAGGTTCTAAAGAAGGGGTGGGCAAATGTTTAGGCTCAGGGGACATATGCATAAATATCAAACATAAACATAAAAAAGGCATTAAAGTACAACCTTCAAATTCAGATTTTTTTTATTTGTGTACACACACACACACACACACACACAGTATGACATGTGGTGAAATGCTTATTGCTGTACAATGCCCGACCATTAAATGACAGATTTCTACAAAAATTTACAGATTTTAACTTAGAAATTTACAGTAAAAATGTGCAAATAACAGTTTACGTAAGAAATTATGAATAAAAAGAAATGATAAATTGTAAGAAGTATGCAATCAACCTCTGTGGTGTGTGTGTGTGTGTGTGTGTGTGTGTGTGTGTGTGTGTGTGTGTGTGTGTGTGTGTGTCATCTTCTGGATGTTTGGAAGTTTGGCTGCACTTATTGAAGCATAAAACTCTCTTAACACTAGATATTCATTGGACATTAATTGATTAATTAACTGGAGATTAATCTGTTCCAGCTGCAACTGAGGCGCCATTTAAGGGTCTTGTGTGAAGCGCCACACCAGCTGAAGTGAGTTCAAATCAGATAACCAAGGGCCCACTTTAGAGAAGGGCTGGCCTGGTATCATTTCGATACCAGGAAATACCTTGCCTTCACTCTTGATTTATTTCAAGGAATTTTTGAGACATATTTTGTTAAGGCAGGTCTGAGTGATGTCTGTCTGCTCTTGTTGTTAGCGGGTTGCTCGGTGGAAAAATGCTGTGCCTAATAGAATGCCAAGCACGAGAGGATAAGATCACATGACTGCAGAATGCATACTTTGTCTTCCTGTTACAGATGGAAGCGTCTTCAGGCCCTAGATGACTCTTGGACCCAACACCAGGCTGCCTTCAACAATGAGCACTTTCCTCCTCTTCATTGTTCTCTTCAACAAGACTCCGGGCACAAACACTAGTCAGAAACACTACCAGCATGTACCTAGCAGGGTGGGTACCTAAAACCCCACCCTACCAACAACAGCAGTAACAGCTACAAAATTAATCGAAATTAAGAAGTGAATTTCTTAATCTTTTTTTTGTCACATTTTAATGAAGATTTGACAAAACAAGGATTAAAGGGGAAGTTTTAGACATTTTATTTTATCAGTGATTTGAATCATTTCATTACAGAGTGTAAAGTTAAAGTACACATGGGAACAAACTAGTGGTGCAACGGCTCAAAAGTCTCACGGTTCGGATCACGTTTTTTTTCGTTACGGATCGGAAAAAATTTCGGATCAGCAGAAAAAGAAGACAAAAATTTAACTCGCCATTTACTTAAGTATTTTTTGCCTATTAAAAAACATTCAACTCAAGACTCATTCCTCGCAATTATATAAAAGTAAATTAAGATGCAATATAGGGCAGTACAGCGCTTTCTATCTACCACTCCGTTGTGATATAATGAGCAGTCTCAGTCACGTAGCTTTCCATTGCCCTGGAGGTCCACCCATTTGTAGTTAGGGCAACAGAAGATGCCTGAGACAGCTCAGCCATAGCTTTAAACTTTTCCTGCTAATGCATGCTTGGAGCGATCTTGTCACTGAAGTGGACGCGCGACGGGATATCATGGCGTGGCTCAAGCACGTTCATCATAGTTTAAACTAGTGCTGTCAGCGTGAATCTCGTTAATGCCATAACTGCATTAACGCGGCAAATCTCCGTTAACTAGTTACCGCGGATCGCCCCGTGCGTGGGGCTGCACGGCGTCACTGCGTCAACTAACGCGTTGACTAGTTTAAACCCCTTGTTTTGCACAACTCGTCTGCAGCTAAACACCCCAGTAGCTTTTGTAATAGCTTTAGCCTGGTCGGATTGGGCAGCAAAGGGCTGCTTAAATACCACGAATTCCTCTGCTCCTCCACTTGGACCGCTAGCGCTGACCATAGCTATTGCTTGACAGACTGACCACGCGCACCATACACATACTTTTTTCGTCTTTTTCCAAATCGGATCACGTGCATGCCAAACAGTGGAGTGGGATCGGTTCAGATTACGGATCAACCGTGATCTGTTGCACCACTAGAACAAACTAATACACATAAAGGGTACAGCGGGGGACATAAATACTACTGCCTCATGTAAAACTGAAGTATTACAGATAAAGAACTTTATGAAGCACCTGTTAATCTGGCACATGATATACCAAGTACAGCAGTAAATCTTTTACTTGAGTATCCGTGGCCTCAAAAATTCTCCGTTCCATTGATAAAGCTTTGAATTTGCACATGAAGTATGTATGAGAGTGAGTTACACACTTAAACTGAAATTCCCAGCTGTGACTGGGTTACTGTGCAAACACTGATGCGCAGCACTGTTATATCATGCAGCACTTGGTTTGACTTTTGACTGTACGTGCAATCAAACTTCTTTGCATAGTTTCATAGAAGATGCTGAGATAATGAAGCTGCTAGAAAATATTATCTTATAAACAGTTTGCCTTAAGTGAATATTTTTATTGTAGACCAAGTGGGAAATATTGTATTAAACAGTTGTCATTATTTGTAGAGTATTTATTAGATGTAGTTAAAGATTATCAGATAAGCTGTTTTTAGTTTAACATGTACCCTTCGCATAATGTGTGAGACTTAGCATCGCTGCGCTATATTGTTTAGTTTCTTATCTTTTGCTTTATGTTAATGTTGGTGAATAAAAGCCTGGTTGGTATGCACCTCACCTCCGCTTCGAGCCTCCTGTTTTAATCCAACAGATAGTTTTCATATAGTTATTAAAACTAGAGTCATTGAAGGGCTGATTTGTTTTTACTGATGTCAGCGGGAGACGTTGCTGCTCATTTAGCTCTGTGCACGTTTACCTTAAATGAAGATATAGTGAATTTTGCCTTACGCAGTCAGGCAAAATTAGAGCAGCAGTTCACACCACTCCGGCTCAAACATTAAACAAGCATGAGGCCCACAGTCGTTCAACACGACTCTGTGCTCAAACTGTTAGTAAGAAATGTGTAAAGTTACAGAGAACACTGTGATAGGTCATTGCTTCTTTATTTTACTGTGGACAGCATTTTGGATCAACTAAAGGCTTTTTAGCGAGTTTCAGGACATTATGATTATAAAGAATTACAGTAGTCCAGCCTAGAAGTAATTAAAGTAATTAAAGAAGTAAGTAAAAACCCTGATTTACGAATAAATTCTTTACAAATCCTACCATGTGGATTCATGGATTTTTTTATTTTTATTTTTTCACATTCTGTCTCTCACAGTTGAAGTGTACCTCTGGTGCAAATTACTGACCTCTGTCATCATTTTAGGTGGGGGAACTTGCACAATCGGTGGCTGACTAAATACTTTTTTGCCCCACTGTATCTGTATTATATTATACATACACATTAAAAGTGAATTTCTGTCCAAAAAATGCACTCAGGTTACTTTTTACTCACTATGAGCATCATTAATTAGTCTCTCCCAGTAATTAAGGTCAGGATATGTATTTTTTTTTTATTCCAATCCATTCTTGTTTTGCAGCATTTAAATAACTTTTATCAGATTTGATGGTTTTGTTACAGACTTTTCAAAAAAGTGTTTTGCTTTTCTTTCACAAATGTGAGGATCATTTTGTTACAGTTTGTCATATTTTCTGATCTCAGATGTGAAATAAATACATAGTGTTCATGAAAACTGTTTTATTTAGGCCTACTTTTAATGAAATTTAAACACGCACTTGAGTTTTTTGATCTTTTTATTTATCACACATTAACGGTGAGGTTATCAGGGCATGTCCCACTGGAAGAAGGCCCCGGGCAGACACAGGACACACTGGAGAAGTGTTTCACCCCAGGTTAAAGGTGATCACTCGTTACAGCTTTGCATTGTTTTGCAGTGACTTTTCTCTGTGACAAAAAGACCCAAACAAGGCAGCAAGGTTCCACAGTGCACCACATCAACATCCTGTATCAGGATAGACAGAGATCTTTTTTTAGCCGTCCTCATCCTTCTGAAATTGATCCTGTCTCTCTGATCTTATCCACATTCAGAAGTAGATGATTTCTCTCAGAGCACTCTACAAAATTGTCCACTAGTGCTCTGTACTTTAGTTGTGTACTTTAGCAAAGCTAAAAAAATAAAAAAATATTCACGAATTTAGAAAATGACATCTTTCTGTTGAAACCAAATGGTGAATTGGATAATCTTTGCACAAAAAGCTAGTCATAAAATGGGCAAAGGTCGAAAAGAGTAAATTCTACACACACTGCAACCAAATAATTTTATAATTTTTTCTTTAAGATGTTAGTGTTTACACTTCAGATAAAAGAAGTTGACATTTTCTCATCTGGATTCTGTCTTTACAACACTGTGAAGCTAAATTACAAAAGTATAAAAGTACAGAAGTACCAACCCATTCTGAAGTTTAATCTTTATTGAAAACTGTCAAAACACAAAAATGTTCCCAAGACTGAAATATTTAAATGTATTTATTTGAACACAAACTTTAAATCATTGCTTTCCAATAGCCTTTAATCCTGTGTAATGAATTACTTTTCAAGCAACTTAAAGAAGTCCAGATGCTTTTCTTTCCAAGCTCCTCAGACTACGATGACCCGGATGACTGAGAACCTTCACAGACGAATTGCTTTTAGTGACAAGGAGCACAAAATAAATCTTGAAATTAAAATGCAATCAAATGAAAATCTCCACTTTTGATCTTAAAGCAAAAGTTTTTATTTAAGAAAGGTAAAAGAATTTCAAACATTAAGGCCCATGAAGTGGAAGAGAAACAACAACAACATACAAATGCATCAAAAAATAAAATATTCACCAAACCTTTAAAGCAAGGATAAGTTTAAATTTTCAAGTGGATAAATAATTTTGTAAATGAATAATCATCATGAGCAATGAAAACATCCATGGCTAAATAGACTTGGGAAAGAGCTCAAAAACTGGAAAAACTCAAGAGACCAGCAAGAAGTTGTCAAGGCACCACCCATAATGTTTGACTGACAGCTGATCTCTGCACAGTACAAAATGCCAAATCAATCAGAGAGACAACATGAATTTGGAATGAAATGAAATACAGATTTAAACCCATAACAATTTGAAAGACTTTACTCTATTTCAGTTTAATGAACTCAGAACTTGTTCCAACAGAGTAAAGTCTAAGCCCAACGTAGAGCGGCTGAGTGAATGTGGTCTGGACTCTGTGGAGGAGAGTCATGGTTTCAGAGACGCTGTAGAAGGACAAAATACCTGCTCTGTGATCCAGGTACACTCCTACTCTGGAGGAACGAGGACCTGACATGGGTATTTCATTGTTGTTGTACCAAAATGTGTAACTGTTGTTGGAACATTTTATTGCCCAAGATTTGTTATTACGCCCAAAAATACCTTCATTCCCACCCTCTGCTCTGCTGATATCCTTGTATGCGACTGCTACATAAACTCCTCCCCCTCTCCACTCCACCTCCCAGTAACAACGCCCAGTCAGACTCTCTCTACTCAGGACCTGAGACAATACAGTAAATCTGTCTGGATGATTCAAATAAGACTGTTTTTGACTCATAAATTCTGCTTTTCTGTTCCCCTCTGATAATAACAGCTGTTTTTGTGCTGTGTTTGGATCCAGTGTGATTTCACATGAATATTTTAAGAATCCAGCTCTGGTCTTTGGCTCTGGTCGTGACAGTAAAACATCCACTTCAGTGACTGTCAGTGAGATGTTTGTCCATTCCTCTCTCAGAATGTCCTGTAGTTTATCTCTGACCTCTGACACAGCTGCTGTCACATCCTCAAAGTAGCTCAGAGGACGGATATTGATGCTGGATGAGTGTGTAGACTCACT